CGAGTGGTCCGTATGCAGAGCTTGTTGGCTGCCTCATGTACCTGATGACCTGCACACGACCTGACCTTGCATATCCTCTGAGCATTCTTGCACGCTATGTTGCTCCTGGGAGACACAGACCAGAGCACATGGCTGCAGCGAAGAGGGTATTGCGCTACCTGTGCAGTACGTCGGGCATGGGGCTTGTGCTTGGAGGGCGGAGTCCAGTGGTCCTTACCGGCCACGCGGACGCTTCTTGGGCTGACGACCAGGCTACGCAGCGGTCGTCACAGGGTTACACCTTCAGCCTTGGTTCCGGCTCTGTCTCGTGGCGGTCTACTCGCTCGTCTTCGGTTCTCGGCTCCAGTTGTGAGGCTGAGATCTACGCCAGGGCCATGGCTGCACAGGAGCTTCGCTGGCTCACCTACCTGCTGACTGACCTTGGAGAGCCGCCTCGTTCTCCTCCAGTGCTGTACGTAGACAACAAGGCCATGCTGGCCTTGTGTCGAGAGCAGCGCTTGGAGCACAGAACGAAGCACATTGCTCTCCGCTACTTCCTTGCTCGTGAGCTGCAGCAGCGTGGTCAGTTGCGACTTGCGTACGTGGCCTCTGAGGCCAACACTGCTGATGTGTTCACCAAGGCACTCGCGCCTTGTGATCATCAGCGCTTTTGCACCCAGCTGGGTCTTGTGTCTGTCTTGCCTCACTTGCTCTCCTCTTGACTTCACTTGTACTGTGACATATATATATACCTGCTCTTGCTTGTCTAGTTTTATATATATGTCTGTACTCCTGCATGTGAACTGGCCTCTGGCCCTGCTCTTGTGCTCGGACTGTGTGGTGACTTTGTGATCCACCCTGAGCTTGCTTTGCTTTGCTTGACTGGTCTTGTGACCCCTTGTTCTCCCCCACTTTGCCTATGGGGGTGTGTCAAACATTATATATGTTATACTTGTGTAGGCTACAGTGGGTTAGCCTATAGGGGGTACACAATTCTAGGGTTTACTACTTGTACTCTTTTCACTTCTAGTTCATCCATTTCCTGTTCGCTTATTCTCACAGTTGCCACCACTTTTCTTGATTCAAACTCTCAAGTTTCTGTAGCGGTTGATGTATAGCCCGACCGTCTTGCTCGGGAACATCTTTACGTTGTTCAGCTGGTTGAGAAGGCGACTAAGTGTCACCAAATCCGTTGCCATGTGGCAGGTGCGCAGGTGCTCCCGCTGCGCGGGCGCCCACTAGTGCTTGAAGGGGCGAATGCTCAGTTGTTCTTCAGGCGACGGGTTCCGGATCAAGACCGTGAAGGCATACAACGACCCGTTGTAGTATTGTGTCTTCTCTTGAGGTGACCGTTGACTGGAAATGCGTAGGATCCGTCGTAGAACATCCAGATTTGTGCCCCTTGAGCCAGGAGTTCGAATTTGAAACTCCAGGTGTAGAAATCATTTCTGTTGAATGGCTTGGTTGTCCTGAGCTTTGATGTTGAGAGGAACTTGCTCTGCATTGACACCATTGTTTCGTAATGCGTTTGTTGTGCTTGAACAGATCCTTGCGCTTCGCTATTGTCGAAGGTGAAGGATCACTCGGACTGGGCTCCTTAAGGATCGAGAGGTCTTCGGGCATAGCTAGAGCCGTTGATGCTCATTGGCTGATGGCTCTCCAAAGTGTTGATGCGGGAAATGAGCTGCTAGAGGAGTGCTGAATCCACAGTTCTCATTCCAACACAAATTTTCTCCAGCCTCACCGCAATCTGCGCCTGGCATGATGCTTGGCCTTGATGTAAGGATTAGTTGTAATAAAGATTGTCTTGACTTGAAGACCTAGCAGTTCCTATAATACAAACTAGCTCATATACAATGTTAGAGTGAGGATCTTGGATAGGATACGATTGCCTTAGAGAGTTTTAGTAGCGGAAGTTTTTGTGGTAGGAACCTTGTGCGTAGTGAATGTAGATGACGAGTGCTGTTATATTTGAAGGATCGTAGTGGATAGAATAAGTCTGTCAAGTTTGAGAGAAGACAATGAAGTCTTTGTAATGACCTTGTTAATAGATTGAAAGAGAACAATATAATTAAATGATAGTAGTACAAGAATAGAAATAGCCATCCTAGCTAGCCATGTACTCTGAGGGGTACATTCGCTTATTAGCTGAATTACGTTGCTACAATAACGACGACAATTGCTATTCTTGACAGTTACCATGTTGCATCGCGTAACTACCAAGTGCGGTTACTGGGCAGTCAAGAGTCACGACCGTTGACTGTCTTCGACTGTTGACCTTGGGGTGAATCTCGGCCTTCCGCATGCTCTATATGAGCTATTGCGACACTGGTACAGACGTGTTGCTTCGTTATGGAGTGACGCGTGAGTGGAGAGCCTTCGGGAATGTTACGATAACCTTTCGATTATTGCAACAACAAGATTGATTAAAAGGATAAATTACACACAATAATTAGACCTAGCTAGACATGTATTCCAATGAGTACATTCCCTTATTTTAACTGTTTTACAAACAGTTCTACGGTGACTATGTCCATTATGTCAGAATGTGATATGTGTCTAGCCTGCAGTGGGGAACTCTATAGTGAGTATAGCCCAAATTAGGGTTTCCTATATATACTCAATTGCCTACTAGTGCAAACCCTCTTTTATGTTTTAAACTTCTCTTCATTATTCTGACTTGCTATCCAAGCAGGTCGACCCTCTCGGGTCGATCCTGTGAATGGGCCCACCGTTAGCTTCCGCTGTTGTCCTGCCTATCGCGCGCCTCGGGCGCGAGACGTTTTCTCCTGCCGCGCGCTCCGAGCGCGCGGCGGTTTTCTGCCCTGCCCGTCGCGCCGCCCTGCTTGCCGCGCGACGCCCTGCCCTGCCCGTCGCGTCGCCTCCGGGGAGCCGCGCGCGCCCCCCGTCGACCCGCGCGCTGCCCCGCTGGACCCGCGCGCGCTGCACCGTGGACCGCGCGCTGCCCCGTCGACCAGCGCACCGCCCCGTGGGACCCGCGCGCTGCCCCCGTCGACCCGCGCGTCGCCCCAGGGGACCCGCGCGCGCGGCTCTGTCGACCCGCACGCTGCCCCCGTCGACCAGCGCGTCGCCCCAGGGGACCCGCGCGCCCTGCCCCGTGGACCCGCGCGCGCTGCTCTGTGGAGCTGCGCGCCGCCCCTTGCCCTCGTGCAGCTGCGGGGCGGCTTTTTCCCCGCCCCCCCCCCCCCCCCCTCCTTCCTCGTCGTCTCTCTGCTGCGCGTGCAGCCGTGGTGGAGGGTAAGAGGGTGGCGGGTGTGCATCGTCCCGTGCTCCTCCTCCTCCTCTCTCTCGCACTGCTGCAGCTGCTGCTTGGGGGGGTGGGTGTGTGGGAGCCGAGGGAGTCGCGCTAAGGGGGTGACACGAGATTGGAGCTAGGGGTGCAGCAGGGGGTGTGTGAAAGGGGGGTGGGACAGTTGGGGGAGGTTGAGCGGAGGCAACCGCAGTGTCGTCAGCAGGGCAAGTAGTCCGGGGCCCTTGCTCCGGTAGCCCAGCAAGCCAGCCGCTGCGCCAGTCGCCCATGGGTCCGTTGCTCCTGCCACTCGTCTTAGCCGCAGAGCCAGTTACTCCTGTAGTCCTGGGTGTCAAACTCTTCTGCTATAGTCTGTGTAGGCTATAGTGGGGTAGACAATATGGGGTATAACACTTCTAGGTTTTCCTACTTGTACCCACCTGCTTGCTAGTTCATTCATTCCTCATTCTTCACATGGTATAAGAGCGAAGGTCTCGGGTTCGAATCCCAGTGTGTGCACTTCGAGCATCCCAGTGCGGGGGGGTGTCAAAGGTCCACTGGTGATCCCCGATTGATCCTAGGGAAGGGTTACAAGCATGTTGGCCTGGGGGGTTATAGGCGCACTGACCCGCTACTTAACAAGCCCTTCTATCCCAATGGTCTAGTGGTTGGGATTCTGACATGGTATAGAGCAGGTTCCCTAGTGGGAACGCTTCCTTGGGCCCACCACTGAAATTTTCCTTTCTGACCGGAGCGCCAGTCGCTCCTGCCTGAGGCGCGCCTTTTTCGCCGCCCTTTCCAGGCCCCTAGTGGCCCCTAGCGGCCTCGTCGCCGCCCCTCACGCGGCCCCGTTGCCGCCCCTAGCAGCCCCGTTGCCGCCTCTCACCCTACGCGGCCCCGTCGCCGCCCCTACGCGGCCCCGTTGCCGGCCCTAGCGGCCCCCGTCGCCGCCCCTATCCGCCCCGTCGCCGCCTCTCACCCTACGCGGCCCCGTCGCCGCCCATACGCGGCCCCGTCGCCGCCCCTAGCGGCCTTGTCGCCGCCCCTAGCGGCCCCGTCGCCGCCTCTCACCCTACGCGGCCCCGTCGCCGCCCCTAAGTGGCCCCGCTACCGCCCCTAAGCGGCCCCGTTGCCGCCTCTACGCGGCCCTGTCGCCGCCCCTAGCCGCCCCGTCGCCGCCCCCCCCCCCCCCCCCCCCCCCCCTTCCTACGCGGCCCCGTTGCCGCCACTACACGGCCCCGTCGCCGCCCCTAGCGGCCCCAAACGCCGCCTCTACCGAGCAGCCCAGCAGCTGAGCCGCCCAACAGTAGAGCCGCCGAGCCGCCCAGCAGCCGAGCCGCCGAGCCGCCGAGCCGCCCGACAGCCGAGCCGCCCAGCAGCCGAGCCACCGAGCCGCCCAGCAGCCGAACCGCCGAGCCGCCCGACAGCCGAGCCGCCCGGCAGCCGAGCCGCCCAGCAGCCGAGCCGCTGAGCTGCCGAGCCGCCCTGCCATCGAGCCGCTCCTAGTCCTACCGGCGCGCCCCGGCCCTACTTACTCGGACTAGTGAGCTCACTCCTTACAAGGCCACTCCAGTCATGGCAACCCCCAGTGTTCTTACCTTTGATACTGAGGGTCGTGCTGTTGACTTCGAGGTCTGGGTCGATGACCTCTAGCTGTTCCTCCAGTGCGATAGGGCAGACGGCCTCTCCCTGTTCGACCTCACCTCTGGTGCCTCCCCTGCCCCGCCTGCTACTGCTAACAGCACTGTTCGCTCACAGTGGGCGACACGCGATGCTGTTGCCCGTCTTGTTGTGCGTCGCCACTTACCGACCACTGAGCGTGCGCACTTTAGCCAGTACAAGAGTGCTCAGACCTTGTACGACGCTGTAGTGACCTTGCTGCACTGAGCCGCCTCATGCTACTGTACCTCTTCCCTGACCTTGCTGCCTTTCCCACAGTCGCTGACCTCATTACGCACCTTCGCACTGGTGACGTTCACTACCGCGCTGCGCTTCCTGCTGAGTTCTGCGCCAAGAACCCCCCCCCCCATGTACATCACCCTCTACTACATAGTCACCCGCCTCCCTGTCTCCCTTCGCTTAGTCAGGGACCACTTCCTCTCAGTTTGCCCCACCACTCTCACCGTCGATCTCCTCGAGGAGCGCCTCCTAGCAGCAGAGAAGAGCATAGTCGCTGTAGGAGCCTCTCGTGGTGACCCTCGCACCCCCGTCTTTGAGGGGTGTTCCCCCTCCCCCCTCTTGCCCTCTGTTGCTTCTGCTGCTGCTGCCGACCTCGTTGGTTTCTACGGGGTCGGCGCTGCGTCTGCCCCTAGCGGGAGACGCCGCACCGGCAAAGGCAAGGGGGGCAAGGGAGCTGGAGGGGCTAGCAGGGGCGGTGGAGGCGGTGGTGGAGGCAGTGGAGGGGGTGGGGGTGGTGGTGGGAGTGGTGGAGGGGGTGGCGGCGGCGGAGGCAGCAGTGGAGGCGGAGGAGGCGACGGTGGTGGCGGAGGGAGCGGAGGCGGCGGAGGTGGCGAAGGCGGCGGAGGTGGCGGAGGCAGCGGAGGCGGCGGCGGAGGCGGCGGTGGAGCTGGTCGCAACTGTACGCAGAGGAGTGGATCTGGTGGTGGTCCACGCCAGCAGCAGCAGCGCACTCGTGAGACCCTGACCCCTCAGCAGCTTCGTGAGTGGTACGCTGCGCGTCAGCGCGGTGGGGGTACTGGCCCCTGCACTTACGTCCTCCGTACCGGCGACCGCGCTGGTGAGCAGTGCGGGGGCCCGCACTCCACCCAGCGCTGCTTCGGCCGCCTGACGAACGCGTGGCGTCACCAGTTCCCTGAGGGGTCAGAGATCCCTCGCTGGGGAGATCTGTCTAGGGCGGGGGTTGCCATCTTTGATCTTGACTATGATGCTATTCTTGCTGCCATTTATGCTGTATCTACTAGTGTTGAGGGTGACTGTTACCTGTGTGTTCCGCCTGACCCGGGCATTGAGGCTGCTGCTCTAGGTGCTGGTGAGGCTGCTGCTCTAGGTACTAGTGCCTCTGCTGCCCCAGGTGCAAGTGCGACTGCTGCCCCAGGTGTTGGTTAGTTTGCTCTCTTAGGTACTACGTCGGCTTAGGCCTTACACACCTTCACCCCTGACTCGGGTGCTTCCCGCTCCTTCTTTCGAGACCGCACCACGCTTACGCCGCTTAGTCAGCCGGTTGCAGTCTCCCTGGTGGACCCCTCTGGGGGTCCTGTCCTTGCTAGCTTCTCCACTGTCTTACCGTGCCCGGCAGCCCCCTCTGGCACCCTGTCAGGTCTCTACCTCCCCTCGTTCTCTACGAACTTGGTGAGTGGAGCTGATCTACAGGATAGGGGGGTTGACCAGTTCACTCCTGCGAGTCAACGGGTGACCCACTGCACGTGTGCTCGGACACGCCGACACTTGGCCACGTTCACCCGTCGGCCTGGGTCGAGCCTGTACACACTTACTACTGAGTCTCCTCTGGCTGCTGAGTCTGGCCAGGTAACTGCGTCGAGTCAGGTGTTTGCTGCAGCGTCCAGGTCTGGTCCTGAGTCTGCTCCCTGCTTGTGTCGTCTCCTGTCCCACCAGACTCTCCTTTGGCACCACCGTCTTGGTCACCCCTCCCTGCCTCGTCTCCGAGGCATGGCCTCCCGTGTCCTTGTCTCTGGTCTCCCCCGGTCTCTCCCTCCCATACCTCCAGGGCCTGCCCCTTCCTGCGTCCCCTGCGTCGAGGGGCGACAGCGCGCCGCCCCTCACTCCTCCGAGTTTCCTCCGGATCCCCGGACGCCGTGCAGACGCCCACGACGTCGACCAGGCGTCCGGGTGGTCATGGCGACGCCCAGCTCGGCGTCCCTTGCAGTGGTCCCCCATGCAGGTCGACCTCCTCGTCGACCAGCTCACCCACTGCCGCAGGTCGGCTGCTCCCCTCACACCCGACCATGAAATCGGCTCCGCCCAAGCGAGGACGGGGCCAATACCCAACTCCCGTTGACACTCCCCTGCCGCGTTCACGCTTGGGCACCCAGCCCACACGGCAGTACAGCTCCGAGAATAGCCCGTCGGCGTGCACCCAACACACAGCACGCCGGTCACCGCACCAGCCATGCAAGAGGGCATGGCACCTACTGCTGCACGTCGTTGTCGCCGTCGCCCACGTCGGCCAAGCGCATCTGGCCGATTGCAACGGAACACCGGTTGAAGGCCGGATAGTGCAGCGCCTTCGTCAGGAAATCGGTCGGCTGCTCAGCGGTTGGGATGTACTGCAGCAAGAACTTCCCGCGCCTCACCATGTGCTGCAGCCAGGCCTGTCGCCGTTCCATGTGCTTGAGGTTACTTGTCAACCCCATGCCCTCGGCGACCGTGATGGCCGACTTGTTGTCCACGCGCAGGACAGTCGGCTTCCCGGCGTCCAGTTGCCGGAATTCTGCGAGGAGGAAGCGAAGGCGGCGTCCCTCCTTGCCAGCTTCAGTGGCCGCCACGTACTCCGACTCGGTCGACGACAACGTCGCGCACTTGATGCGCTGGCTCGACCAGGAGACTGCAGCCCCTCCGTAGACGAACACGTAGCCGCTCGTGCTCGTCCTGTTCTGCTTGTCATCTGCGTCATCGGCGTCCACGTAGCCGACCAGCTCCAGCGACTCAGGTCCACCACCGAACTCCAGGGCGGTGTCACGTGTGTTGGCGAGGTAGGCAAGGCAGCGATCGACCTCGCGCCAGTGCTGGTCGCTCCTCACCGTGAGGCCGCTCCCCAGCTTGCTGCAGGCGAAGGCAATGTCCGGCCTTGTCGTCGTCGCCGCGAACTGCAGCGAGCCGACCTTCTGCCGGTACTCCTCCTCCTGCCGTTCCTGCGCCTCCTCGTCATCGAAGGTGAGCTCGGCGTAGGCACCGACCGAGACCGGCGTCTTCGGGGTGCGCCCGGTCTGCTCCTCGTCGAGGAAGCGCCTACGCAGCTTGTCGGCGTAGCCCTGCTGGTGCAGCCACAGCTTCCCCGCCGACCTGTCGCGCACGATCTCCAGCCCGAGGTACTTCTGCACCGGCGAGATCTCACACAGCTCGAAGGTGGATTCCAGCAGCTCCTTCAGCTCCTTCAGCATCGCGGCGCTGCTGCTGGCGGCAAGTAGGTCGTCCACATAGACCAGCACCCAGCAGGCCACTCCACCCTCGCCAACCTTGAAGTACAGAGCCTCGTCAACCTGGCTCTTCTTCCACCCAGCGTCGACCAGCACATCGTTGAGCGCCAAGTACCACAACAGCGGCGACTGCTTCAGCCCGTACAGGCTCTTCAGCAGCTTACACACCCGGCCGGTTCCGTCGTTGAAGTAGTCCGGCTGAGACATGTACAGCACTCGATCGAGCTTGCTCTGCAGGAAGGCGTTCTTCATGTCGAGCTGCATCAGGTTGAGGTTGAGGACAGTGACGATGCTGAGGAAGATCCTCAGCGTGACGTAGCTGCTCACCGGCGCGAACGTCTCGTCGTAGTCGGCGCCATACACCTGTGTGAAGCCCTTCACGACCAGCCTCGCCTTCTCTCGCTCGACGGTGTCGTCGACGTGGTACTTCGTCGTCAACACCCACCGGTTCTTCATGACGTTCACTCCCGGCGGGCGCTCGACCAGCTCCCAAGTGCCCATGCTGATGAGGCTGCGAATCTCCTCCTCCATGGCGGCCTTCACCGCCGGGCCCTTCCAGCTCGCCAACGCCTCCCTCACCGTCATCGTCGAGATGTCCCAACGGTGCTCGGGGTCGGCTAGCATGTCGGGGTCGAGCTCCGGAAACTCCTCATCATCCTCGGCGTCATCGTACAGCAGGTCGTCATCATCGTCCACGTCATACACCGTGGTGAAGGCAGCGGGGACGAAGAAGTCAGGCGGCCTTCGAAGTCGGCCTGAACGCCGTGGTCCCTGCTGGACCTCCTCGGCATCCCCTCCATCGTCGCTGCCCTCAGCGTCCCGCTGCTCCTCAGCTGGCGTTCCAACCGACTGCTCTACGGTGGTCGGCTTCCCAGCCGACTTCTCCCCTGTGGTCGGCTCCCCTGCCGACGGCCCGGTCGCCGACTGCTCCGTGGTCGGCTTCACGGCAGCCTGCTCCCTTGTCGGCTGCTGCTCCTCGACCTGCTGCTCCCCTGTCGACTGCAATCCCACGTCGATTCGCCGCTCGTCACGTCGGCCACCGGCGATGCACTTGGCCGGCGCCAAAGGCGGCGTCCCACGTCTCCCCTCATCGCCGGAGGCCGACACCGAGGTCAGCCCACGTGGGTCGACCATGAGGGGAGGGGCAGGGGTCAGAGGGAGAGGGGTAGGGGTGTGGACGCCCTCAACGTCCTCAGCAACAAGCTCACCGACCTCGGCAAGCAGTGGCAGCGTCGCTGACGAGGTGTCAGAGGGCAGGGTGGACGGCGACCGGCCAGACACCGGCCCATGCTCCGTTTTCCACTCGGCCAGCGACATCTCCTCGTAGAACACCACGTCCGACGTGGTGACCACCCGGTCAGTGGCGACGTCAAGGAGCTCCCAGCCCTTGCTCGCCTCTGACACGCCAAGGTGCAGGCCCCACTTGGCCTTCGGCTTCAGCTTCCCACCACGCTGCTGCTCAGGGACAAGGAACTGCGCCATGCAGCCCCACACCCGCGCCAGCAACAAGTCGGGCTTCTTCCCAGTCAGCAGCTGGTACGGCGTCGTCCCCTGTGGTAGCGTCGACCTCTCAAGACAGTTGCGGACCCAGACGGCCTGCCGGAGAGCAAGGTGCCACCAGTGGTGCTGCACACCCATGTGCAGCAGCATTGTCCGCACCGACTCCACCACCGTCCTCATCTCCCGCTCCGCCATGCCGTTCTGCTGCGGGGTGTATGGGCAGGTCAGGTCATGGACGATCCCCTTACCGTTCACGAAGTCGGTGAACTGCTTCCCGAGGAACTCCCCTCCCCGGTCAGAGCGCAGCATCAACACCGACTTCTTCGTCTGCCGCTCAGCCACCGCCAGCCACTGTACGAACGCCTGCAACGCATCTGACTTCTTGGCGACCGGCTTCACCCACACGTAGCGGGTCTTGCGGTCCTTCAGCAGTAAGAAGTACAGGCTGCCATCCTTGGCAGTCACGCGGAACGGCCCGCACAGGTCGATGTGCACGACGGCCAGCACATCGTCGGCGTCGAAGCCTTGGTCGGGGAAGGTGTGCCGCGCCAGTTTCCCACCGACGCACGAGACACACGGGGAGTCGGCGTCCGTCGCCGACTTGAGGTCCAGCCCAATGGCGACCTCGTTCTTTGCCGAGCTCCGTATGGTGTCCATGCCGACGTGTGCAAGCCTCGCATGCATCCGGTCCAGCGTTGGCTTCGTCTTCGAGACGATAGCCCGCAGAGCCACGACCTGCAGCGTGGTTGACGCTGACGTCGTCGTGCAGGGACGCAGGTCAGTGCAGAGGACTCGTCCGGAGTACGTTGCCCGCCCGAGCACCTCTCCCACTGCCGAGACGAGCAGCATGCCGTCTCCGTCCTCCTGCAACTTCACGCCATTCTCCTTCAGCTGGCCGGCCGACAGCAGGTTGGCTCGCACACCCGGGACGTACAGCACGTCGGGGATGAGCACCTGCTTCCCGGCCTCTCCTCGCAGAGCGACGGTGCCACAGCCCTGAACGTCCTGCAGCGCCCCATTGAAGCCGCGCACGTGCTGGATGGAGCCACTCGGCTGCAGGTCAACGAAGGCTTCTCTCGTCCCCATTAGGTGGTGGGAGCAACCGCTGTCAAGCAGGACCACCGCCGGGTTCGCCTGCACAGCCGCTGCCACCGCCTGGAAGTCCTTTCCGGCCTCCGGCGCCAGAGAGATGGTCGGCTCCACGACGCCGACCAGCGAGCACGACGCCATCTTGTCGTCTCGCCCCTTGCCGCCTGCAACGGAGTCGGCGTCCTTCGCCGAAGTCGATGTCTTAGTCGACTGCTTCTCCTTGCGCGGCTGGTTTCCTCCACGACGAGGACGACGGCTGCCAGACCTCCCACGGCCTCCCTTAGCATCGTCGTCGTCGGAGTCGCTGCGGTTGGGACACTCGAAGGAGAGATGGTCGGGATCGCCGCACAGCCAGCATTCCCG